GCGACAATCAAACCGACAGTGCCGCCCCTGTTCAACCCCACAGATACGAATACTACTGTTACGGGCTGGTTATTCTCGACGGAACTTTATTTCAATGCCGCTGGGATCACTGCTGACGATTTAAAAATTCGGCTGGCTGTATCACTACTACGGAGACCTGCGTTAGATTGGTGGCGATATACACTATAGGAGGGGGAGTTTTCGGCAGGCGACACACAGGGTTTTTTTCGGAAACTTTGGGTCTGTTGCCCAAGGGTCTACCGCAATTTTCGGATCGACCAAGATTCGCACGTGGAAGGCATGGGGTACAGCTCTGTGTGAACGATTTGAGCCAATATCCGCCTCGAACAACGCACGCACGAAGCTGGACAACTTGCGCAGTGGAGTTCTGTCCAAGATTACGCGTCGGTCTTCATGGCGTTATGCGATCAAATCACCGACATGCATGGCTCCGAGAAGAAGGCTTGATTCATTTCGGGCCTGAAGTAGGACATTAAATGCGAGGTTCACTTGCGACTACCGGCGACGTTTCACGAAGCAGTCCAGATCGCAGACATTTTCGACGCACATCGGACGTATGCGAGAGCGCGTTCCCGGGAGGGAAATCGTTTTCGCGGCCAGGATCCACGGCCCACGATTCATGGTGTAGTAGCGAAGGAGCACATGGAAGATTTTTGCGAGGGACAACGCTCAACGGGTACGATGTGCTGTTGGGACGCGATTGGTTGCGAATATTCAATCCGCAGATCAATTGGATTACTGACGAGTGCACAGTGAAGTGCGATAAAGGCTGGCGGAAATTACCCACGTGGCCGGAAGGAGAGACAACCTCGATACGGATTAACACTGTGTGCCTCAAACGAGCGGTCAAGAATGGAGAGGATTTATACGCCGTCCATCTAACCGAATCAACGGAGCAAATCGAGGCGACCGACATCAACAAACTCTGCGCTTCGGTACCAGATGACTTCGCAAAAATCATTCGGGAATATCCCGAGATTTTCCGGACGACTTGCCAAGTGGACTGCCACTAGAACGACCCCGAGACCACAAAATCGAGCTCGAGCCCGGCGCGCAGCCTACTGTACGAACTCAATGGCGCCTGACTCAACCCGAGCTACACGAATTACGGAACCAACTTGACTACCTGCTGGCAAAAGGGTTTATTCGGCCGAGCACGTCCCCGTTCGCAACGCCGATCCTGTTCACCCCAGAGAAGGATGGCGGACTTCGCATGTGTACGGACTATAGTGCCCTTAATCGGGTAACGATTAAATCGTGCTACCCAATCCCATGCACGGACGAGCTGATTGACAACCTTCGCGGAGCTCGCTTCTTTTCGAAGATCGACCTTCGTGACGGTTACCATCAAATTCGGGTGTTCGCTGACGACCGTCACAAGACTGCATTTCGTATTCGCTACGAGAGTTACGAATATACGGTGATGCCGTTTGGATTAACGAATGCCCCCTCGACGTTCCAGCTCACCATGAACGGGGTGTTCCGCGATCTACTCGACAAATGTGTGATAATTTACTTGGATGCCATCCTGATTTACACCAAGATCCGGGAGCAACATTTAAAGGACTTGGAAGCGATTTTTCAGCGGTTGCAGCAGCATCGTCTCATCACCAAGGGCTCCAAGTGCGAGTTTTTAAATCAAGAACTGGAGTTCCTGGGATACGTGATCTCCACGGAGGGGATTCAAATAGACCCGAAAAAACTCTGGGCTATTCAGGAGTGGAAACCGCCAACAAATCTGCAGCAGCTGCAATCATTTATGGGTTTTGTGATTTACGTGAGGCGGTTTATACCCAACATGGCGGGGTTAACTAGACCTCTAACCAACCTACTGCATAAGGGGTCTTCTAACGAGTGGGGGGAGAAGCAGCAAGCTGCGTTCGAGGCATTAAAAACTCTTTTAATGTCGCCACCCGTACTTCGCATCGCTGACCCGGAACGACCCTTCGAAGTCATCACCGACGCAAGTGACATCGCCATTGGAGCAATGCTCATGCAAGATTTTGGTAATGGTCTTCAACCAACCGCGTACGAGTCTTGGAAAATGCAATTTGCTGAGCGCAACTACCCGGTACACGACAAGGAGATGCTGGCGATCGTCCACGCGTTCAAAATCTGGAGGTGCTACCTGACTGGAGCAGACGTGACGGTGCGAGCCGACCATAAATCCCTACAGTACCTGAGAGCACAGCCGAATCTCAACCCGCGGCAGATACACTGGTTGGACTATCTGGAGTCCAACTTCACGTACAAAATCACATACAAAAAGGGCGCCAACAATGTTGCTGACGCCCTCTCCAGACCGTCTACCCAACTCGCAGCAGTACTAGTCGCCCAGAGCAACTCGCTACTGAGTGGACTATTTACCGACGGGTATTCGACTGACCCCTCCTTCGTAAATGACGGCCATCTCCAAATCACTACACGGAAAGGCGTCTATTACTTACGAAACGGGACGGATTGGATTTGGGTCCCAAGTTATCGTCTACTTCGCGAATTATTAATTCAAGAAGTCCACGATTCAAATTTATCAAGACATTTCGGGGTTGATAAAACTCTGAAGGCGTTGCAACGGTTTTATTACTGGCCAGATATGGTGACGGACGTGCAGCGTTACGTGGCCGCGTGTCCGATCTGCCAGCGAGTGAAATCATGACATCAAAGACCGACCGGACTGTTGCAGCCCCTCGAGCCACCTCAACGCCCATAGCAACACGTGACGATGGATTTCGTCATAAGTCTACCGGCCGGATCCAGCACAAACGACGCAGTATTGGTTGTCGTCGACCGATTGACGAAAATGGCGCATTTTGCACCATGTCGTACAACCATCACAGCCGAAAAAATCGAGCGACTGTTCATCTCGACCGTTGTTCTCCTACACGGGATACGAGCAGCAATCATTAGTGATCGAGACCTGAAGGTCACGTCGAAATTTTGGCAGGACTTGTGGGCTCGGTACGGCACGCGCGTGCAATTTTCATCCGCTTATCATCCTCAAACGGACTGTGAGACTGAGAGGACAAACCAAACGATGAAACATCTGATTCGGACAAACTGCCCCGACCGAAACAAATGGGAGGACGCGCTTCCCATGTTGGAATTCTCCTACAACAACGTGTCCTCAGCTACGACTAATCACTCCCCGTTTTACCTCAATTACGGGATGGATCCGATAGTACCCCTCTCTACCAACGTTGAGAGTCAAGTACCACGGTCGCAGCAGTTCGTCGAAGAATTACAGACTACCCGAGACAAAGCTGCTGAACTTATTTGCAAGGCGAACGCTACTGCTCGGCGGTATGCGGATTTACATCGACGGGATATTGCAATGGCAGTAGGGCAACTAGTCCTTATGGACAACAAGAACTTACGCCTGCCACTACCGACGAAATTACGACCACGTTTCTGTGGCCCATTCAAGATCATAAAGATGGTGACGCCGGTGACTGCCCAGTTGCGCCTACCCGACGATTGGCGTATTCACGACAAGTTATACGTGAGCATGTTGCGACCCTTCGTATGTGACACATCGGACATCGCTCGACAGCGATTGGTCCCAGATGTACGGCCACCAGCAGGGACGACCATCGAGCTTCCGAAGATTTTGAGCCATAGGATTCGTATCGACGGCCAAGGACGACACGTTGACTTCCTGATACGACAGACCAATCGTACCAGTGAGGAAGACACGTGGGTGCCCTCGGACCAGATACTTGCGAATTATTTGGCCCGCAAGCACGTGGCTGATATAGACCACCTTCGCTAAGGGGGGGGGGGGGTGTTAAATTATATATGTTAGTATATAATTGTTAGCTTGGTAGGCTTACTGAACTTTACTGTAGAGGGTACAATACCCCTCCTTGTATCCCTCTCTCTTCTATTCTGATCCTCTTTTCTCTCCTCAACTTTCCTAGCACCTAAAACCTCCCGCCATTTCCATGGCTCCTCCTAGCTCCGAGCTAAACCTCATGCCATTTTATGGCTTCCTAGCTAAGCTAGTCTTGTGACAGGGGGGTGGTGTAAGGGATTTTCCATTCCTTACCAAGCGGTACTGCTATCGCATACGCTCGGACACACCCGAAGCCTCGGGACGGTTCCGGACCTTTCTGTCAGAACCGTCTCGGCTTCTCCAGACCTTCCAGTTCGACCTTAGGGAGTTCTTCGGGCCTCGCTCCATCACTTCGAGACCCTTCGATCTCATTCCCGAACTTTCACATCTCATGGTTGGACTTGCTCTGGTGTTCCTATATCTTGGCTTGCCATTCCTTGTATCGTGATTCAGTGATTCAACACTTCGTTATTCATTTCCGCGCTACTCTGCTTGTTCATTCATAACAGTTTCCAGCTGCTGTAACACTGCTTCACGACAGTCAGGGTCACCAGTTACCAAATTTGATTCAGCGATTGCCGTCATCCGTCGTGAATCCCCAAAGCTACCTTCTACGATGTCGTTCAAGCGACGTGCCCACCGAGCACCGTCGCCCGCCCCTCGTGGTCAACACTTCCATGCCGAGTCGCGCAAGCAAGGAGACCATGCTCGACGCGGCTCGATGTCCAAGCACGACATTGGGTCTGGAGCCGCCAGTGTGACACACCCACCAGCATGTCCCTCCCCCCCACCCTGCCTTTATTCCCCCTCGAGCTTGGAATCGGAAAATCGTGCAGTGGGGCGAACAAATCGACATTCACCCTTCCTGCCGTCCTTCAAGAAGTCCTGATGGGATGAGACATGTCTATCGTGCGGAGAGTCGGAGATAGGCCTAGGGCACCAAGTTGCCGCCACCAGCACTGGGTGCCAACCAAATGGTTGTCATTCAAATGCGCCACGTCACGTATACTTACTCCCCTCGAGCATTCCTGTAAGCAGCAGCTGACTGCTGTATCAGCGCATACGTGGAAATTGATAAGCAGTTGAGCTGGTCCTGTCCCTATTTACATCGCACGTGCTTCACTGGATAACGTTAGTTCGGTGAACCACTTCGCTTGTTAAATGATGAGCTTCTGTTAGGCTTGTTTCTCGTTTGTTCACTGCCGCGCTGTTTGATTGAAGCGCAAATGCTGGTTTCTAACGACTGTCTATCCAGCGGAGTAAATCAGCAAACTATGAGATTAGGGCATAGCTTCTCCTCTGCTATTTGACTCAGAAAGTACGGTCGTTTCGGTCTGGCAGGAGGCCAGTCGCACGGCTGCGATGCCTGCGAGAGACGCGCACATCGCGTGCACGGCTGGACGAAGCAGGCTTCCTTTCGCAGCTCCAGTAACCCTTCGCAGGTCATCGCGAGAAGATTGTAGACACTCGCATGTCGCGATTCCGACAAGCCCCCTCTTCTGCCTTGTGCTGTTGCTAATACGCGGCACCTCAGCCGGTGCAGCAGTATCGAGCGTATCTGCAGTCCCCGACGCGCCTGGAGCGAGAAACGAGTCGTTATTGTCCGGCCGGATCGCAGATGAGCAGCGAGGTATACGGCCAGGCTCGGGTAAAGGTTCGGATGCAAGCGAGGCCCTAAGCTTGGGGGTAGGAACGGGCCGAGGCTCAGCCACGGGCGCAGAGCGAGAACGCGCAGTGGAAGCAAGTCCACAGCTGGATGACGCGTTAGCAGTCAACCCAGACTCGATTGTGGCAAGCGTTTACTCGTCCCGGCCACAACCTAGTAACGAGGATGATAACCAGCAGAGCACCGCCCCAGGAGGCCGGCGGGAATTGTTGGAACGTTCGCGCTATCACCAGCACAAATACACGCCTTCCGTTTCCTTCGCCTCGTTATCCTCGAAGCGGCCTGCCGACAAAGCCGCCCTTTACATTGTGTATCTTAACTCCGCCCCCTCGATTCTGACGTATCGCGGTGGCATAGCCGGTCTAAGAGCCACCGCTACGAATACGGAAGCCGACGATGACGATAACGATAACGTTGACGGAGATTACGAGGACGGGGGCAGTGGGGGGTTGGGGGGAAACGGCGGGAACGGCGGAATAAGCGGGCAGGGAATCGCGAGCATCAAGTCGGTCGGGGGAGACGGGTGGGGGAAGGCGAAGCAAGCGATTCAGCAGGGAGTCGCAGAGCTAGCGTCAACGGCGGCGGCGGCGGCCGCCGCGGCGGCTGTGGCGGTAAACACGGACGGCTCTCCGCGACGACGCCCCAACGTGCAATCCGCGGCAGTGCGGGAATTCTCGCAGTTCCTTAAAGACTCGCACCGGAGATTAATCTCCGCGGCGGACCTCCCCGCATCGCGAATCGTGCACAGCTACCGGTACCTCATCAACGCGTTCTCGGCGCGTTTGACGGCGGCGGAAGCGGAGAAATTAAAGAAGCAGCCGTGGGTGGACAGGGTGGAGCGGAGCCAGCTGGTGCGCGCTGCGACGACGCACACGCCGGACTTTTTAAGATTGCCGACCAAGGTCTGGCCGCAGCTGAGCGGCGAGAGCCGCGCGGGGGAAGATGTGATTATAGGCCTGATCGACTCGGGTATCTGGCCGGAGCACCCCGCGTTTTCAGACAAGGTGACTATTCTCGACGCGCTCTTATTTCCCGTCTCTTTGCCTCTTCGCGCGCTTTTCCTCTCTCCTTTCCGTTTTCTCCCGCGTTTCCGCCCCTGGTTTTCGCCCTTCTCCCCTCCCCAACCCCATTGTTTCCGCCCGCCTGTCCGCGCGCGCGCAGACCAGCACTCCCTACGGCGCGCCTCCCAGCCGGTGGCGCGGGCGGTGCAACACGACGGCGGACTTTCCGCGATGCTCGCGGAAGATCATCGGCGCGCAGTGGTTCGTGGCGGGGCTGAAGGCGGAGGGCGGGCGGATCGATCCGACCATCGAGTACCTGTCGCCGCGGGACGCCAACAGCCACGGCAGCTGGTGCGCCGGGTGAGTCTGAAACGCACGGATTGGAGCACAAGTCCAATCAAATAGAGTGAACCGGCGACCGATATAAGAACCGGGAATGCAGCTCTCCGCCTCCCCCCGATTTCCCATTCACCCTTCCTTCCCCCTTCCCCCCTCTCCACCCCTCTCCTTGCCCCCCCAGAGCGGCAGCGGGCAATGCTGTCCGCGTGAAGTCCGGCGCGCAGCCGCTGGGCACGGCGCGCGGGATGGCGCCGCGCGCGCGGGTGGCGGTGTACAAGGCGCTGTGGTTCGACGGGCGCGTGGCGATGGGCAGCGAGGCTGACGTGTACAAGGCCGTGGACCGCGCCGTGGCGGACGGCGTGGACATCCTCTCCATGTCGGTGGCGTTCAGCGACGAGAACTACTTCAAGCACCTGCCGCTCATGCGCGCCGCACAGGTACGTGGAGAGAATTCCCCCTCCATGTGGTGAGAGCGGCTCAGGCACTGGAGGCACGGCGGGGATATCCTGAGCATGTCGGTGGCGTTCCGCGACGAGAGCTACTTCAAACACCTGCCGCTCGTGCGCGCGGCTCAGGTACATAAAGTGAACGTCGGCGGACGGCGTGAATGTCGGTGGCGTTTAGCGACGAGAACCATTTCAAGCACCTGTCCGTGTGCACGTTATGGCTAATTGCGCGTTCATGCTGCGCGTTCAGCCGTGCGAGGTATTTGAGCCCCATCCCCCCTTCTACCCTCCTCCTCAGGCGGGCGTGCTGCCAATACTGGTGGCGGGCAATCTCAAGGCTCCCCCAGACACGGACGACGGCATGTATCGCACCATCCGCAACGCCTCGCCCTACTACCTCACCGTCGCCGCCAGGTATGCCATCTGCGCCCAGGCGCTGTGCCGTACCTCGCTGTGCCGTACCTCGCTGTGCCGTACCCCGCTATGCCGTACCCCGCTGTGCCGTACCCCGCTGTGCCGTACCTCGCTGTGCCGTACCTCGCTGTGCCGTACCCCGCTGCGCCGTACCTCGCTGTGCCGTACCCCCGCTGTGCCGTACCCCGCTGCGCCTTATCACTCTGTCGTGAGGCCACGCGCCCGGTGCTACCGCACCATCCGCAACGCCTCGCCCTACTACCTGAACATCGCCCCAGTTACTGTAGCTGTCAGAATAATGCGGTCAGACTAATGCGGTCAGACTAATGCGGACATCCAAGTTATTCCACTCTCCACTCGTCTTACCATCTCCCGCTCTTCTCTCTCCCACTCCCAAATCCCCTCTCCCCCACACCCACACCCACGCCCACAGCACAACAGACAGAGCGTGGCCGCCCCAAGCCACCCTAAGGCTGCTGGACGGCACTGCTGGTGCGGCCGGGAGCAGAAGCTCCGGCGGCTGGAGCAGATCAAAGGGCGGCGCTGCTGCGGCGCTCACCAGCACGGGCCTCTCGGGGGATCCCGCGGACAGCAGCATGGCAGGAGAGGCAGCAGCGGCGGGCGTGACGGTGGTGGGAGTGACGTACCACGCGGGCACGGCTCGCACAGTCAACCTGTCGCTGGTGGACGCTGGGGCTGCTGGGGCGACCAACGCCTCTCGCATGCAGGTATGCTGTGAGTCTGTTGATCGGAATGAGTGTTGAAGGAATGACAGGGAGTGACAGGGAGTGACAGGGAGTGACAGGGAGTGACAGGGAGTGACAGGGAGTGACAGGGAGTGACAGGGAGTGACAGGGAGTGACAGGGAGTGACAGGGAGTGACAGGGAGTCAAAGAACTCCAGAGTCAACCAACCTTCACTCAAACCTCTCCGCACCCGTTCGCCCTCCCCCCGTTCCCTACACAGGCGCGCATGTGCATACCCGGCTCTCTCGACCGGTCGCTAGTTGCGGGCCGCATAGTTCTCTGTGAGGCGGGGGGAACGTCGCCAGACGCCAAGGCGGGGGAGGTGCGGCGAGCGGGCGGGCGGGCGATAGTGATCGCGACTGCGTCCGCCACGGCGGGCAGCGGGGACGGGTACGCGCTGGACCTGCCGTCGCTGGTGGTGAACCAGAGCACGTCGCAGGCGCTGAGACGCTTCCTCAACAAGTCAAGCAAGTGAGTGGCTCTCGCTGCTTCTACCCCCCCTTGTGGGTGGCTCTCGCTGCTTCTACCCCCCCTTGTGGGTGGCTCTCGCTGCTTCTACCCCCCCTTGTGGGTGGCTCTCGCTGCTTCTACCCCCCCTTGTGGGTGGCTCTCGCTGCTTCTACCCCCCCTTGTGGGTGGCTCTCGCTGCTTCTACCCCCCCTTGTGGGTGGCTCTCGCTGCTTCTACCCCCCCTTGTGGGTGGCTCTCGCTGCTTCTACCCCCCCTTGTGGGTGGCTCTCGCTGCTTCTACCCCCCCTTGTGGGTGGCTCTCGCTGCTTCTACTCGTGAGCGGTGCCACAATAAACTGCGGTAAGAGAGCTCTCGGCCCTCATGTCTGAATGTGGCCCTTTATCCCTCCCCACTCGTCATCGCTCAAGCCCTTCCACTCTCTACCTGCCGTCCAATCAGGTTGCGCCAGCCGTGGCACCTTCCCTTCTGGCTGTCGTCTCATCCTCTTCCTTCCCCTGCTCCCCGCCCCTTTGCTCCCCCCTGTCTCCCTCCCCCTCTCTTCCCCCTCGCCAGCCCTCGCGCCACGCTCTCCTCGCTCTACCTGCCGTCCAACCAGGTGGCGCCAGCCATGGCGCCCTTCTCCTCCACGGGGCCAATCGTGGACCCCTCTGTGCCTGCCAGCCAATCACCCGACGCCTTCATCAACGACATCTTAAAGCCCGACATCACAGGGCCCGGAGTTAATCTCCTCGGCCCCATGGCTTCCGGAAAGTCCGGCGAAGCAGCGTACCAGCTGCTGTCGGGCACCTCCATGGCCGTCCCACATCTAGCCGGAATCGCAGCTTTAATCATCCAGAAATACCCTTTTTGGAGCCCCGCGGCGGTGAAATCGGCAATAATGACGACGGCAACGACGTGGAATAATAAAGACGAGCCGATCAAGACGGCCTCGGGGCAGCGAGCCACGCCCTGGAATTTCGGGTCGGGGCACGTGATTCCGGCGAGGGTGCTGGACCCGGGGTTGGTGTACAACGTGGGGGCCAAGGGGTACATGGCATTCCTCTTTGGGATCAACGCTGGGTCGGCGCAGAAGCTCTTCTCGCAGCAGCAGCCGCTGAAAGGAGGGCGGGGGGCGTCAATCAAGGCGTACAATCTTAACCTTCCGAACATATGCGTTTCGAATCTGGTGAAGCACGTAACGGTGGTGCGGCAGGTTACCAACGTGGCGAGCCAGGCTTCCCGGTACCGAGCGAGAGTGGTGGCGCCAAAGAACGTGCGGGTGACGGTGACACCTGCAGCGTTCACCATCGCCCCCGGGGCGAGCCAGACGTTCTCGGTGACGTTCACTGTGGTGCAGGCCACGCGCACGTTCTCGTTTGGCAGCCTGACCTGGGTGGACGGCACACACAGAGTGCGGTCCGTGCTGGCAGCGCAGCCCATCCAGGCGTGAAGCTCTGCGGTGGATTGTGCGGAGGTGCCTCATCAGGTCATATGGATATTGGGGTGTTAAGATGAGCCCATTCTGGCAGCCTGACGTTTGTGGACGGCGCGCACAGGGTGCGGCATACTGGCAGCCAGCCCCCATTCAGGCACGGTGATGGCGTCAGGCGAGACTTGGAGAGGAGGAGGAATGGCTACGTGGGTGGATGGCACGCAGAGTGCGGTCAGTGCTGGCTGTGTGGTTCTGAGAGGGTGCACTGAGGTGCCTCACAAGCTGTTGAGAAGGAGGATGGGAGCAGCCTTGAAGGCCAGGAGGATTGAAGTAGGTCTCACGGCGAAAAGGACAGCAACAAGGACGGCGGTACAGGTATGGGTCATGCTGCAGCGCAGCAGGGTTGAAGCATGAAGGGTGCGAGAAACATGGAGGGGTAGGAGAGGCACGGAGGGGTAGGAGAAGCATGGAGGGGCAGGAGAGGCATGGAGGGTGGGAGAAAAATGGAGGGTGGGAGAAAAATGGAGGGTGGGAGAAAAATGGAGGGTGGGAGAAAAATGGAGGGTGGGAGAAAAATGGAGGGGGTGAGAAACATGTAGGGGGGGAGAAACACGGAAGGGGGGGGGGGAACACGGAGGGGTGGAGAAACACGGAGGAGGGGAGAAACACAGAGGGGGAGAGAAACACGGAGGGGGGTAGAAGAACGGTGGGAGGAGAAGCACGGAGGGCAGGAGAAGCACGGAGGGCAGGAGAAGCACGGAGGGCAGGAGAAGCACGGAGGGCAGGAGAAGCACGGAGGGCAGGAGAAGCACAGGGAGGGCAGGAGAAGCACGGAGGGCAGGAGAAGCACGGAGTGGCGACAAAGCAGTTACAGGATGCCGTTTTGCTGGTGCCCTTGGGGCTCTGGAACTTGAAGGCAGATGGATTGACACCAGCCAGCGGCACCCCTAACGTTTCAGCTAGCAGAGGGGGACTGGGGGGATTTCAGGTTGATGATTTGATCAGGCTAACTGCGGTGTGGAGCAGTGCGGTATGTTGCTGCACAACCTGCTGCGTCGTGGCGCTGCAAATTGACGCCCACTGGTCGCAGCGCGGATCCAACAGCTAACTGCACATTTCATTGTTTCAATATGGTTTTAGAATACTTGACGTGAATGCTCATTTAGTTTGTTGCTACAACACGTAGCAGAATTTTTCTGCATTTTCTAATTGTATCATTTACTTCTCGTACAAACAACACAACAAATCAATCATCATGTAAGGAAATGGTATTTCCTTATCACGGGTTTTAGTTAGTAAGGCGTACACTGCTATAACGGGGTTGCCGTGCAGCTCTGCCACGAAATTCAAATCGCGGTACCCAAATGTGGCCTCCTTACCAGCCGCATGCATTTTGCCCGCCTTGCTGTTTCGTGCCTAGATCTGGGCGCTTCGCGCCAATTTACGAACCACACGTCGCAGCTCTGCCGAGCCACGACCGTGTGCTCTAGGCTAGCTATATCTATGCTCCCTGCTGTTTTGATCTCACATAAGTTGTATTGTTTCCTCGTTACTCAATCCTTCGACACACACACTTTGCGCTTCATGACATCTGGTATCAGAGCTCTAGTTCCACTGCAATACCCACACTTAGGGAGGCTGACGCCCTGTGCTTACTGCATATCCGTTGTCTTGGTAATATTTCTCAGAATAACGCAATGAACTAGAAAGAGTGATACAGGGTGGTTGTCCTAAGGAGTTGTACTCCCTATAAGCATGCACCTATCTAGCCTATAACATATACAAATATATGTTGACACACCCCTAGGCTAGTCAAAAGGCAACGACAGGGCCAGTGATTCAAGGGTATTTCACACTGATTACCCTGACCAGCGGCCGTTTTTTGGAGATCACCCTGATCTTGTAAGGGTATTTTGATTGTCACCCTTAATCAAACAGCGTACCGAAATTTTTACCCTTGTGTAGACAGGGAGTTTGCACGATTACCCAGCCCTGACAGGGTGTGGCAGAAAACACCCTGAAACAGAATGTGCCAAACCCCGGAGATTCGACAACTGTCGAATCTGCCACGCGCTTCACCTCCCTCAAGCCGTCCCGCCCATCGACAATAGGACTGTCCTTTTGGTCCCAAAACAACAGCCACGTGTGCCCGACAGCCTGGCTATGTGAGGGAGCATCGCTGCCAACGCTGCATAGTTTCTCGCATTGGCAGCATATTCCCCGCGCACACCAGCATGGCTGCCATCACGCTGGCAAACGCATGCAGCAACATGACGCCTTGACTGCCAGCCGATGCGCGCGCTGTACAGCATGGCGGGGTGCGTTTCGTGGCGCGCAGGCAACCCACAAAGGGCCCTTCCTCCTCATCCCCTCCATACCTACAGATCGCCAACACACCAATACGCGCAACTCCTGTTAGTGCCTCCATCCCCCTCCTAGTTTCTTACCACACTAGCTACCCATGCTATGGTCCTCTCACAGGACGATGAGGAGACAGACGACGCACCTGAGCGCCGCTGCAATGGCCTCGGCGTGCTGGGAGTCTTTCCTCTCGCCCCCTGAGCAGTAGCCCCTCGAATCCCGCCGCCTGTCATCCCTCCCGCAATCAGCTCTCCTCGTAGCGAGCACTCCGATCCTGTCACTCTTAGCGCATCCCCTCCTTGCTCGCCAACCGCATCTAGGCGCGTTACCACCGGTGGAGGGGAGGGATGTTCCCATCCCCCCATTTCGTCGTCGCGCTCTTAGCCAACAGCGCCACTTAATCGCAAGTGCCGCTGCCAGTGGATGCAGCAGAGGCTCTGGGGGGCGCCTCCCCCGCATCGGCCTCCCAGTCCGCCGCCCGCTAGGCCTCCCCGTTCTGACAACGCCTCCTCCGTCCTCCCGAATCCCACGACCGCTGCGGAGGCCGAGTACGCACTGGTGAAGAACCGCTTTAACACCGATTGGTCGAAGCGGTTTCCATGGCTTCGCTTGAACCGCATGCGTAATGGTCGTCCCACGCTCAAGTGCAACGCTGCCTCAAGCACGCCGACCCCACGGCCAACACCAGTTACGGTGTCAAGGGGGAGGGAGGGCGCGACCTGCAGCTCGGCAACATACGCTCCCATCTTGGAACCCGCACACACAAGGCTACGCTGAAGGCGGAAGAGGACGCTGAGAAGGAACGGGCTCGCCAGGTAACGTTAAGCCGATGGCAATGCACCGACCGACAGACGCGGCACCTCATCCGCTGCCTACACATCGCGATGTTCGTGTGTAAGAAGGACGTGCCCATCGCCATGTTTGTCCCACTCTGCTGGTTCATGGCTAGAGAGGGGCTTCCGGATCTACCATCCGGCGGCGGTTACGGCTCCTACTACAGCGAGTGAGTCGTATTTTTTATGACCATTCGGTTTCCGCTAGCTTGTGATGTATGACAGATCTGTTTATGTGTGGCTCATTTAGCATACCCTCTCCCATTCCGGCCCAATGGCAGGTACGGCTTCAAGGAGAGCATTCGCGCCATCTCCTCCCATCTTCAAGAGCAGCAACTCAAGCACATCCAGGACTCGCCTTTCGTGGGGATCTCTATCGACGAGAGCACTGACCGCATTCACGGCAAGCACCTCATCCTGTACGCGACATTCTTCAAGGGAACTGCGGTCGTGACCGAATTCGTCACCCTCCTCAGCGTCGACCACACCGATGCTGCTTCGTTGACGACAACACTACTTCGCTACCTCCAAGGCATGGGCCTCGACCTGCAGAGGATAGCAGGCATGTCCACCGACGGCGCTTCGGTCATGACGGGGGAGCGGAATGGCGTGGTCGTCCGCTTGCGGGCACGCATCGAGCACCTTCTATCGACACACTGCATCGCCCACAGGTATGCTGATTTCCCATCCACAGTTGCCGAGGGTCCGACATGTGTCGACTTGTCAACGCCTCTGTCTAATGCTCCGCTTATACTATTTTTATCTGTTTTAGACGCCTCTATCTTTTACGCCTCTGTCTGATGCTATTCCCATCCTACCGCTCCTCCCTCAGGGAGGCTCTCGCGGCCAAGGACGCAGCTGGAATGGTTCCAGAGCTCGCGATGATCAACCTCGTGATTCGCGTTCTCGCCGACATCCTGGGGCGCAGCAACGTGTGGCACGGGCGGTTCATGAATCTGAAGTTGATCTTCTGCTACACCTCGTTGGAGCACCAGGGCATCCACCTCATCCGCTGGCTTTCCCGTGGCGAGGCGGTGAACCGGCTCGTGGAGGTGTTGCCGGCCGCGATCATTCTGCTTTGTGAACATGGGAGCGAGCACTACGAAGTCATGACATGATTCAAATTCAACTTCCTCGTCCGATTCCCCGTTGACATCCTTACCGAGCTCAACCACCTGAACACGAAGTTCCAGGCCCGCCAGGTGAGATGAGAATTGTGCACGGGTACACAATTCTGATGGCCTCCTTGTGCCTACCCATGTTCAATGTACTTCTGCTATCGCTGCTCAAGCCTGTTAATTCCCTTTCCTGATTCGTCTGTTTCGACCTCTGTTGTGTGGCCGTGCAGGTTGATGTGACGCTGGTGGCCCACCATGTGGAGCAAACGAAGAGGCGCATTAAAGCCCGCTACCTCAACGGCGCCCTTGGCAGCGCATTCGGGCATGGTGAGAAGCTGCATCTGCCCGCGTTCCTCGCCAATCATGCCTCCCTGGATCGGCGAACAATGCGCGCCGAAGGGGTGGATGGTGACGGCAAGCCGGTGGCGTTCAGCTTCACCCTTCATGAGCGCCCCTTGCCTGGACAAAACACGAATGGCGACATCACTGCGTGCTACGAGGCGGCCGTGAAGTATGCCAAAGAAGTCAACAACGGCCTGGATCGTCGCCTTTCCGACCTTCAGAACCTCGAGGGCACGAAGCTCTTCCTGGAGCAAGCGTACCTCTCCGAGGATCTTGCGCGACTTACGGCCTTCAAAAAGTGGCTGAAGCAGTTGAACGGCCTCATCCGCGACAAGCTTCTAGGTTAGTGTATGAGTCAATGCATTCCATTGAGTTATTGCTGTATACATGGTGTACAGGTTTGCATCACCATCCCGAGATGCTCAGGAAGCCGTGCTATGTGTTTGCTTACCCCCACCCCCCAGGCTTTGACTGTTAACGTAAGAACGAATGATCGACTAGTAAGAGTAACACATAACAAATACCAGTTGGTTGTACTCACTAGAAGCACACACCTAGTCTAGCCTATAACTTCTACATAGATAATATGTATAAGTTGACACACCCCCTAGGCTAGATAAGGGGTGGTGCTAAGCAAGAAGCATGCAGCTCAGGGTGGCACTACTAGTCCAACCACTGAGGCAGGGGTTCGGAGACCAGTCAGCAAGAGTACAAACAAGACAAGAGCAAGCCAGGGCGGCACTACTAGTCCAGCAACTGGAGGTAAGGTCACAAGGCCAGTCAGACAGGTATATATAGTAGAGAGTACACAATCATGGCCCTAGCAAATGAGAAGCTACAGGAACAAGACCAAGCTGTACACAGTGCCGCTGATGATCTTTAGGCGCAAGCGCCTTCGTAAAGATATCAGATTTGTTGGCACCGGAGGCCAAGTGAACTACACAGGCCTGGCGACGCTGCTGTAGCTCGCGCAGGAGGAAGTACCGCAGCTGGATATGCTTCGCTCTGCCCTCAAGCCGAGGCTCCTGACACAGGAGGATCATGGCCCTGTTGTCACCGTACAGGACCGGGGCAGAGCTAGGCTGCTTACCTAAGTCAGTGAGCAAGAAGGTCAGCCAGCAGAGCTCCTCTGCCGCCATGGCACCAGCGTAGATCTCAGCCTCACAGCTGGACTGAGCAACAGACGACGAGCGAGTGGATCTCCAAGAGATAGCACCCGAAACAAGGCTAAAACAGTAGCCCTGAGACGACCTGAGAGTCTCAGAGTCGTCTGCCCAAGAAGCGTCTGTGTGCCCAGTGAGGACCATCGGCCTGCGCCCTCCTAGCACTAACCCCATGCCCAATGTACTTGCTAGATGTCGAAAACCCTCTTAGCGACCGACCAGTGCTGTGGTCGGTGTCTGCCAGTGGCCACAAAGCTAGCCAGGATGCTGAGAGGGTATGCAAGATCTGGGCGAGTGCAAGTCATCAGGTACATGAGGCAACCCACCAGCTTCGCGTAGGGTCCACTGGGCTCTACTGGCTCCTCAGGAACTAGAGCAGAGAGCCCATGGTCTACAGGTAGAGGTGTGGGC